GGCAGGACACCCAAACCCATAGGTGCCCCAGAGAAGGAGGCAGGACACCTAAACCCATAGGTGCCCCAGAGAAGAGGGGTAGGGCACCCAATCCCATAGGTGCCCCAGAGAAGAGGGGTAGGGCACCCAAACCCATAGGTGTCCCCAGAGAAGGGGGACAGGGCACTCAAACCCACAGGTGCCATGGGGGGACAGGGCACCCAATCCCATAGGTTCCCCAGAGAAGTGGGGCATGGCACCCAATCCCATAGGTGCCATAGAGAAGGATGCTGGGCACCCAATCCCATAGGTGCCCTGGGGAGGAGGGGCAGAGCTCCCAATCCTATAGGTGTCCCAGGAAGGAGGGGGGCAGGTAGGTGACCCAATCCCATAGACACCCCAGAGAGGATTAAAGTGTCCATGTCATAAACTCCCAAAGGTGTTGGACTAGATAGAGGCATCTCTGTGGAGAACAGCCTCTGAGTCCTCCCCCTTTGCCTTAGGCAGCAGTTGGGTTTCCAGGAGGAGCCCTGTGGGGTGTCTGTGTCCCTCCCCTCTCCCTGTGGCTCACAGTCTGGCACTTCATTCCAGGCAGTAGGTTAACCCCTCACCTACCCATGCCACCCAGGGCTTGGTTTTCCCTTCCAAATGGCTGTGAGTGCACATGCATCCGTCCACACATGGGTGCAGAGCCACTCCCTTTGCACCAAGGGCAGGAGCCTCCCACTGGCTGGGTGTCCCTAGTGGGGGTACATCCGGCACTGGCTCCTACGCTATCCACTCTGCAGCCCCAGCAAAGGGCCAGGGATGGTGAGTGGCAGGAGCACAGTGCACTCAGCCACCCCCAGCTCTTGTATGGTCTTTAGAGGACCATAACCAGCTAATGTAAGTTAGAGCATCTGGGGCTGTTCTAACCGGCTCCAACCCACTGACATCCAGCCTCCCCAGCAGAAGCTGGGTAGGGAAGGGAATCGGCCCCATAGACTGATTTCCTGGCACCAGGAGGTTTAAATCCACTCTTTTTATACAATGGTCCTTTATGTGAGTGAGTTTGTCCCAAAATTTCTCCTCCCAGTGTTTTTGTGATGTTTACTGTCTTTGGCTATCATCGGCCACCCCAGAGGCAGCTGCATTTAACTGGCAGTGTGTGCTAGGTATATAGTAAAGTCCTCAGGGATTCCTTATGATGCAGGGCATTGTGTGTATGTAAGGTATTATTATTGTAAATGACATGCTCCGTAAAAAGATGTTCTTTATTAAATAGCACCAGAGGTGCTTGGGGCTTGGCCTATGTTACCACTTATATACCATTGATGGTTCTCCAAAAATAAAGAATACACACTAAAAGCCAGGTAGCCGGTGCTAGAATAAGCAACAGCTGTATGTAAATTGTTGTATTTGTTTACATAAAATAAAAGGTGTGCCTTTTAAAACCATAGGCTCACTCATAGATTTAAAGGGAGTCTGTCAAGTATCTTTCACCATAGATTGTTTATAGTCTGAGGTACAGTATATGCGCCAGATATTTTTTTAAAAGCAGCTTTCTTCCCATCATGCCCTGGGGTCATGCCAGCAACTCCCATGGACTCCAGTGAGGGTTAGATGTGTGGACATGCGATAACCATTCAAGTTTATTTTAATGTATCTGTTCTATTATTTAAGGTCATCAGATTATTGTAACTGCATCTCTGGCCTCTGGTATGTGGCCTGTCTGGTACACTAGACCCTCACATTAATGAATTTAGCATCACAACATTTTGCGAGGTGGGAAATTTATCCCCATTTTACAGATCAGGAGCTGAGAGGTTCAATGACTTGCCCAAGGTCACACGGGAAAACTGTGGCAGAGCCGAACACTGGCCCAGTCTAGTCTCTTAACCATAAGAACACCCTGCCTGTCCCCCACAGCATATATCTCCCCTTCTAGTCTGACCAAACTGCTGCTGCTAAAGTCATCTTGCCCTCCCACACCAACTGTGCCACACCAGCCCCTTCCCTGCATCCCTCAATCTATTTTTCTACTGCATCAAATTCAAGCATCTCATCCAAACCCACAAAGCCCTATATATTCTCATCCCTATCTGCAGCTGTGCTTCATTTTCATCCTTATGCCCCCTAGGCTCTTCACAGTCCTCTCAGTTTAGTTTCCTTTTTCCAGTCTCAGCCTCAGCCCCGCTACCAGGTCCTCCCACCTGTCCTTCAGATGAGATGTAAAACTGAGCTCACACTCCCTGTGATTATTAAGGACCTCATGGCACATTTTTGCAAGAGTAGGCCTGTTAACCCCAAGGATCCTAGTACAATTTGAACTGAGGTAATTACAATCTCCTCACCTACCTTCCTCCTTGCAGTTTCAATCAGAGTCACTATTCTTCCCTTCCTCTTCTAAGCTGTTAGGTGGTGTTTCTGTACGTTGTTTAACAGCTGCTATATTCCACCCCAGAGGTGATTGCATTTCAGTGGTAGGTGAGGGTATTTTTGATTATTATTATTTAACATTTATACTGTATTAACACCTCAAGGCCACGAACAGCTTGACCTCCATTGTGCTAGGTGCTGTACAAACACAAATAGATGCCAGTCCCTTTTCCAAAGAGGTTATAATCTAAAAAGATACTTGAATCCTGTGTATTTGTTACCTACTTCACAGAGGTGTTGGAGGGCTGAGTCAGCTAATATCTGTAAAGTATTTTGAGAAATATATTTATCAGTATTTATTGTTTTCAAACTAAGAAGGTGTCACAAACTGAGAACTTTAATAGAAGAGAGAGACAGTATTAAATGTACTTTGTAGTGTCTCTTTAAAGTAGCTTCTCTTTTTTACCCTTCTATAGTGCAAAAAGAAAGCTTGCTTCTTTCAAAGCAAAATTATTCATTCTAGATTGCATTTTTAAATGCTTTTAAAAATATTTAGCAATAAATGCACAGCTCAGTTCACACAAGTCAATATCTGAGCAACACAGCTGTTCAGGTATTTGCTGGAGCAAAGTACCTAAATCTAGTTCTTGGACAGAGACTCAGCACTACATTTGTTGAGGTGTCCAGAGACTTCTGAAATAGTAAATATCCTTCCACGATTCTGGACCCATTGCAGCATTGACTGGAAAAATACATGATTTGGTCCTAGAGTGCAAGGCCATGTGAATGATCCAATCAGATCTGGCCTGTCAATATTTTGTTTGCTTCATTTCTAGAAATTTAATGTTGGAGGTCAAGTGAGTTTAAAATAATTCTGTTTATTTCCTCTCCTGTTTTGTTATTGTCGCTAAATGTACAAAACAAAGTTCCGTTTGCTGACCATCTTCTCCTCCCAGCACCTTTCTCCTCGGACCCTCCCTTTCTCAGCCAAATCTGTGGGGAAAAGACATCTCTGTTTTTCATATACCTCTCCTGAAACCAATTCTGCTTCATTCCCAGTCAAACTTCTGCTCCTCTCACAGTGTGAAAACTCTTCCACAGTATCAAATCTGCTCTCCTGGTTTTCAAAACTTGCCCCAAATTACAGATCTGGGGTCTCTCTCTCTCTGTCTGCTTTTTTTCCCCTCCCCCTTTCTTCTGCTCATCCAACCCCCGCCCATCTCTCTGCCCCTTACATAGTCTCCAATTCACACAAAAGTCTTCCCCTCCACAGCTTCTGTCACCTGGATCATCATTCCACCTTATCTCACTTCCCTCTCAGATGCAAGTCTCCCACTTCTGCTTTTCCTATGGCTCTAACAGGGCCGGCTCCAGCTTTTCTGCCACCCCAAGAGGCAAAAAAAAAAAAAAAAAGAAGAAGAAGAAGAAGACGAGCGGCGGCACTTCGGCGGCGGCTAAATCGCGCCACTTCTTTAGCGGCAGGTCCTCCCTCTTTTCCTCTTCGGCGGCAATTCGGCGGCAGCTCAAAGAGGAAGAGAGGGAACGAGGGACCTGCCGCCGAAGACCCGGACGTGCCGCCCCAATACCGGACGGAGTGCCGCCCTTTTGAATTGGCCACCCCAAGCACCTGCTTCCTACGCTGGTGCCTGGAGCCGGCCCTGGGCTCTAATCTCTCTCTCCCCCACTCCTTAGTTACTCGTTCCTTGTTCTGCTGCAAAAGGCTTTGTCCATATGATTAAAAGTGGGCAGGATAAATATTTAACTCAGTTTGTTATGTCAGGTAACTCTGTAACGCATTTTGGGATACAGTTTGTATGAAAGATTCGGTACAAAGTAAGGATTCAGGCCTACTGACACAGCTGGGCATGACATTTACTATAATAATTAGTCTGGTTGCTAGGCCAGACTACTGCTAGGCCCTCTTCTGTAATGGAGCCTCCTGGCCTGAAGGTAGGACCAGGAAACCCCCCTGGAGCATATTTAAAGCTGACAATTTCAGTACCATTTTCAACGCACCACACTTGACTTTCAATGCAATTTAGGAGCCTTAACTCACTTTTGAAAATGCGACAGGTTCCTAAATCAGTTAGGCACTTTTGTACGCTAGGTACCCCCAAAATGCCCTATGCCCACTGGCAAGTGTTTCCAGGAGCAGGTTCTAACATATTGTACTATACAGGATAGCTTCCAAAACGTGCCAATTGGCTCATACAGCAATGGGGTTTTTGTAAGTTGCCCTGTGAGGCATGAACCAGGATGTCTGATATTGGCACAGATCCCACAAAATATAATCCACTATTTAAAGGGA